ATGCTTATAATTGGAATTACTGCTGGGCAGCTTGTGTACTGTCTGCTACAGATCAACAAAGTCTTATGATGATACATTTATCCATCACTTATAGCTAATGATTTAACTCTTTAGCCACATTTAGCTGTTGACTATTTTTCCACTGCTTTATATTATCAGTTTATCCAGCTCTGCCTTTTGTGTGTAGTTTAGGGTGTTCTTATCTGCGCTACAAACATGAACACAACTCTGCAGTGTAGTGTAAACAGCATAACCAGTGGTTGATCTGAAATTCTCCAGAGTGGAATTTTCTGGATTAATGGTTCATTTCCTACTTTCCTTACCACAAACATTACACAGATCCCTGAAATCTAGACAAAATAAACAGTGTCATGCATGAATGAATCCTAAACTAAAAGTCTTGTTTACAGCAACAACAGCATTACTGAGCCCATATAATTGGGACTTTGATAGCAATATGAATTGACTAATGATGCACAGCCGGAGGAACAGGCCGAGCAGGTCGGACTGTACCTGTAACAACAAGAGGAGCCGTGACTTATAGGAAGCTGGTGTTCCCTCATTGGGCCTGAGGAGGAATTGCACCGACTAGGTTAGACATTTGGCTTCGTATACAGTATATGATGAACATATGCAATACAACAGTGAAAGGCTCCTATTGCAGTAAGTGGTAACGCTGTGGCAAAAAGAACAATAACTTGAACATCTCCAATGATTTTTACCTTTGTATAGGCAGATTTAGAAGTATCTTGAATGTGAAGCCAACAAGACAAAATTAAGGAAAATAATATCAGGTGTTACTCATGCAGCTCCAAACCAGTTTTGTAGTAATCACAGGCTTTTAAAGGGACATGCCACCAATTTTACACATGAAGTAAAAGTCAGCATTTTTCCTCCACCTGTTCTGCTTTAATTGTGACTGCTCTTTTTTCTCTTTTGACTACCTTTCACTACCTTTCCTTTCATTCATTTATTTCTTTAGAACATTCAAAATTCTCAAGCTAAACATCAATTATTATTATTATTATTATTATGAGGCTATGACTACAAAGTTGTGGGTTGTACTGTAGAGTCAAAGGCTGATCTAAATGACTGGAAATCTTCCACAGTTCACTTATATTTTTATGATAAACTGCAATAACACAGTCACCCTGCATGATAATGAGCAAGTCATCGCAGGCTGCTGCACTTTCTCTTTGGTAATGAACATTCAGGAAGGCCCTCAGTGCAGTTGATCTGCAGCTGCTTAGTACTAATCTGCTGCTGAAACTTATGTCAAATGGTCAGAAAACAAGAAAAAACCCCACTGTACATCCTGTACTTATCTGATGGTAAAGTGTCTCTCATCTGCCCACACACTGTTACACATATGTGCAGTATGCAAATTGAAATTAAGCAGCCTAAAAATCTGTCCGCATACAGCATGCATGTAAAAAGGAAAAAAAAAACCCCAAAACATATATCAACAAACAGAAACACTAATAACTGTGGCCAGACGTACAGAAAAGCGGCAGGTGTGCTTCTACAGAAGCAGTGGGTTATGTACCATTTGGTCAGTTACAGAAGAAAAATGGGCATTTAAAAGGCAAGATAAGAGATCCTAACACACACAGCCAGAGGTGCCAATAGGTTTCACTCCTGGATATGATAATGTACATAATTGTTTGAAGAGTGTTTGGGAATACGTGGGAGTCGCACGATCTCAATACTATGTGACAAATTAACCCTTTCTTTCCCCTAAGTGTACGCTTTAGTCATTCCACAACACAAACTGCTGCCTGGAAACCACCTGCTGCACACAGACACACAAATGTAAGGATGCAGTGGAGTGTAAACCAGCCAAGATCCATTTGACAACACATTTTATTGAGTGTGTAGTTTTGATTAGAGCACAGAAATGTAAAAATTAACAGATCAAAAACATTAATAAAATCTGAGAAGTATTAAATGTCATCAGTGTCTGAAGGTCACAGGACTGATGAAAGATCTTTAATCTCACACTTTAACATTCCATTTAAGTCTGACAACTATCACAATAGCATATAATAAGCTTTACAGTCTGACAAATAGCATAATTTAGCTTAAGTTCAAGGTGCATAATACCAGAACTAGTTTTGCTAAAATCTGAGCATACTGTTCATATATAATATTTAATGTTAAAGGTATTGAATTATATACTGTAGTAAAAGGATTTTAAATGGAAGTTGTAACTTATAAAGTAATATGATGAGATGAGTAGTCCTTGTGATACGGAGCAGTAATTGGTATGAAATGTGTATTACAAAGCTTAACACACTGTGCTAAACCGGTTTATGTGCCAGTGCGATGATATGATCTTTTGGTATGCACAGTGTGTTTTTTTAATGTATGGTCAGAACAAAATACACGGGAGAGGCATCTTGGCACTTCAACTGCCCATACAACATGACTTAAATGATTAAAAAGGCAAGGAAGTGTCCTGTTGGTGGAAAGATATGTCCTGGTTAAAGTGCACTTTGGTTTTCACACCAAAAGGGCAGGGCCATCCCTCTCCCACACTTCCTACATCTGCCACTTCTTTAACATAAGAGACTTAGCAGAACAACAGAGGTATGCTTCAGAAGAGCTATAGTTTTGCACTGAACCGATAGAAAGGATTATTATTAATATAATGCAACGACAGCGAGTACAGTATATACAGCACATATAGCGGGGATACTGACTAACAACAAGAAACTAAACCTTACAGTAGCCAGACAGGCAAAGTGAGACAAACACAGCACATGAAGTTTCATTTCTCATTTTCTAAGCACACTTTTTTCATCTTACAGCAGTGAGGCCAAGAGGTGGCAGGGTTCACCTGACATTGTCAGCACAAATGTGACTACCTCCACTTTCATTTGCTTAGTCAAATAAATAAATAAAATGAAATAAAATAAAATTACAGGTGAATTCCATGTAATGTACCAACTGATTCCTGTATACTATGAAAAATTAGCACACTTTTCCAGGTTTGCATTTGGAGGTAGATGGTTATCGGCAGGATGAACTCACGTAGTGTGTCTTTACAAAGGGAGTGGTTAAATGACTGTCATTTAAGGGGTGAAAGAGGGGGTTCTGTTTGCAGTGTCAATATTTACAGCGATACACGCTAGATGAATAATGACTGAGTGAATTTTGTGTGCGTTTGACTGGGAGGCTGAAAGACGGAATTATCATCATGAACGGATGTCAGATGACATGCTCTGATGAACACATTCAGGTCTTAAAAACAACTTTTATGTTGTCTGGGGTGATCTTGTGCATATGTGAGGGTACGCAGTCTCACCTACTCAAAACAGACCCCCAAAGGCCCCTGCAGGGTAAAATATAAGTTGAAATCAACCTGCTGACAAGATACAATTTAGAAAACTTGACCAGTCTAGTGTAAAGCGATAGGCGACCAATCACAAAGTAAACTCTTTGTTACAATCAACAAGGCTCATTTGCATTGCAAATCAGAGATATGCAAATAAGGGAATTGCAGGCCATCTCCTCACATTACACTACACTTTATCAGATTTTACTGTATATGCTTTTCCTCTTTTCCAACCAGTAGTTTCACATTTTATTATTCTTCCGGTTTTAATACTAAACTCCATTAATCCTCTTAACGTGCATTTCTTTTATCTTTTGTTCTTTTGTTCACTTTACCTTTCCCTCCCTTTAGGACCTTTATTTATTATGTATCAAATACAACTTTATACAGTTTGTTCAAGAATTATGTGATTTTACATTGTTAGAAAATGCTAACAACCTCTGTAGAATATCTCAGTATACAGTTTCATGATTCAACAGTGTGACTCACTGAGCTTCTCAAATTCCACTGTTTGTCCTGTAAACTACAACTAAACGCAACTTTACGCTGTTTGACGACAGCCTATCTTTTCTCTCTCTAAGTTAATTGTTTACATATGAGCTCAGAGGCACCAGCTAAGCTTACATCACCCAAATATTCATGTCAATTCACAGGCTGACTCTTGTATTTATTCTGTAAACAGAGCTGCAGGCAGAGGCATTCATAATGTGCCCCTAACTCTAGTGCAATGTCCTGTACTGCAGCTTTGCTCTCATACAAAACTACCAAAATGCTTTTGTTTCCATCTAGTGGTCAATCACAGTCATAACATTTTCTTGAAAAGCAAACACTCAAATTTCTGACAAATACACATGGAGTAATATGCGTCTGTTATTTTAAAAACATTTAATTTATTGTTCACAGTGCTCAGAAGTTGGTTGTCAGAGCAGAAATATACAGTTGGGATGTCAGATGACCCATCAAAACACTAAAACACAGAGATTCAGATCAGACTAGTGAAGGCCTTGTTTGGATCACTTGATCGACCATGGCGCAAAAATCTCTATTAACTCAGATTCACTCTTAATACACGACCCAATTTTGCACAACATGGGCATCATTTCATAAGTCAAATTTAAAAATTACATAATAACTGCTAAGCTCATTATTATTCCTTCTCCAGAAACATTTGTTTTTAATTGTAGGTGGGTTAGAAAATATCTAATATGATATCTAAATACCTACATTTCAATGACAACTGGGCAAACTCTGTCTAGAGATCATATATTTGATTGAAAGCTACAGAACATTCATTAAATTGACCTCATGGTTATGTATTTTTCTGCTGATTTTAAGGGGGGGGGACAACAAAAAAACACAAGGACAAGAAGACAAACTATTCTATACTATTACTATATACAAAATAATAAAAAAAAAAAAAAAATACATAAACTATTATAGACAATTTGGTATTTCTGTAAATTCTGTCTTAATCTCAGGTTAGATGGTAGAAACTACCATACAGAATAATAAGTTCAGCCTAAAACATCTCTTCACGGTACATTTTCTGATTTTAGGAGACTAACTTCTGCCATAAAAACCATTTTTGAAGTCATAGAGTTCACATTAGTAAAACCAGTATGGCTCACTGACCCTGTATCAGTGCTGATTGTGAGAGGTATTCAAAAACAAGGCAGCCCGAAGCCTGCTGTCTCATCGAGGTCTACACTATGGCAGTAATGCGAGTTACAGTGAATACAATCTGACGTTTTAGGTAGTCTTTCGCAATGTTTTCAGTTCATGGGTTTTTTCCCAGTATTGAAAGCTGTACTTGTAGGAAGATCTAACTAAAAGAAAAAAGTCAAAACAAGGCTGAGTTAGTCACTACTGTTAATTGAATAGTCAAGTGTGTACAAGTACAGAGTATTTAAATCTATCAACAGTATCAGGCTTTTCAAAGACAGTCTGTGATTCCCCAGGAGAGTAGAGACATCAAATAGTGAAAACAGTGTGCACTTTAGACAGGGTGAAGGTTTCTGCAAAGTCAGTAGAGTGCTGTGGTGAGAACACAAGTAATTTGCTTATTACCAGAGTTACAGACAGATATAAATGTGGCCAATCTATTACAACTTGGCCTGTGACTTAACTTTATTGCACTGCACCTCATACAAAAATGCTTCAATCAAGTTATTAAAAAAAACTAAACAGTCACTGAAATTCATTGTCATCTTTTTGTTGCAGTTTAAACACCTTTTCATTATTTGAGCTGTGATAATCTTTGACTACAGTGCTTGTTGATTACACTGTTTGCTGGCTGGGTTGACAGAATCATAAAACTCAGGTTATTCTTCTATTTTAAGCTCAGAGAAGACGTGGGACTTCTGTTAGCTCCCTTTACCCAGGTTCAACCACACCATGTTTTTTTTTATTTTATCTTACACTTGGCCAAACTAGTATTTACAAATATTTCTTATATACCATTTTAGATGAATAGTAAGCATTTTTAATAATGAATGACAGTATATACTTTTCTGTAACAAGTATCTTAATCTTCTTGCTGTTCACTGCAGGATAGAATGAATTAGAACTGGAGGCATTTGTCATTACTAATTGGCACAAATTTGTCTAGAACACAAGATACAGTGCACACAGCGCCTGCAGCAAGTGTAAAAGAAAGCAGTATAAAAGCCTTAAGAGAGGTAAAAGAGCAGTGCGATGTATCAGAACAGTACACTGGCATCTTGGCAACACAGACTGGGTATAAGACCCAATCTGACCCTGACACTGCGTGCAAGATCAAACAGGAAATGAGCTGCTACAGTACTGTGCGTGTTTCAGTATGCTGGTATGGCTGAAGACAAAACAGGCAGAAAACAGTTTGAATAGTGTAGGTGTAAGGAAGCTTATCCAGAAAATGAGAAAGACACCATTGCAAAATGTGTTTCACAGACAGAACAAGTTGCTGTTAAGGCTCTGTTGTATATGAGTTTGTAAAGTGAGGTTATTAGAGAAGTTGTTACAAATGTAACACCAGTGTAAGGAGAGTTAGATTTCCCCAGTATCCACACCGAGTAAAAAGGTCAATACATTGCTTATATTTTGGCATGTGAAGTGCTGAGGTCATCACAGTATGTACAGATTACACTGCTCATAATACTACACAAACACTTTTAAAAAACATGGCTCTTATTTGTGCTCTCCATGTCGGCGAGTCAGCTCAAGTCCAGAAACATCCAGCTGACAGCTGGGAACAGTGTTCGAGCGACACAGCGACACCAGCTGAAGTCACTTTGTGTCAGTCATGAATTGAATCAGTCAGTCTGATAGGTCACACAATTAAAACAGAATACACGTTACAAGTTACAGTAGCCTGATGTACCAACTTAGTGCTCGAGTTAAAAACGCACTTCAGTGAAAAGTAGACGAGTGAGACACTTGTATGAAAGAGCATCCAACATTAGTGCAAGCGGTACAAAAAAGGAGAAAAGGTGAAAAAGCTTAATGTGTATTGTCTGAGTATAAAAAGCATAGTGTACTTGATATATTCATATACTTCTCTGACAGTAGTCTTCCATATATTCCATCTTTCCAGCACTGTCCAGCTGACTTGTATGGAACTGTATATAATTTTTGCTTTTCTTCACTGTTCCAGCAGCATTGTGCAAAAACAATATTTTCTTCACTGATGCTTCATCTCCCATCAGCCACAGCCTTTCAGTAACTCTGAAACAGGGTTTAAAGAGCAAGGCATGACTTTGTCAAATTGGCATTTATTTACTAAGATTATCCATCCACCTGCTCAACCATGGATCTCCACATCTTCTTCTTCCTTTTTGCAGTGCTACAGTCCTCTGCTCCTGCAGAGGAACCTGTTTTCCACCACTCCAGGCCACAGTCCCAGCCTGCACTCCTACTTTCAGAGCCTGTGAACAACCAGCAGTGGGGAAAAATACACTGGAGGACAAACGAGGAGGTGGATTAACATCCCTCTCCTCCTTTTATAAAGGAAGATGAAACACTAAGAAGCAAGAGGAAGGTTAAGGGATGTCTTCCCCCTCTCCGTCTCCTCCTTCTGACTCACGCTTCTCAGTGTGAGAGCATGTTTGCGTGTCTAGCCGTGTGTGTGTATATCGTAAGCGGCTCCAGTGGGCCTTGTTCTTGTGCAGGTGACCCATCATGGTCTGGCTGAGCAGGCTGGGCTCAGTGAAGCGGTGCCACGCCTCAAAAAGAGGCTCCACAATGTAGGAGATAAAACCTAAGACAAAGGAACATCTGTTAGGTACACACACACACACGATGTGCATTTTTTGCATGTGTGTGGTGGTGTGATGATATAATCGTGATGATAATGTTTGTGCGTACTCTACAACTCACCTATTTGGATAGCTGGGACAGAGTCAGCCTGCTGGTTACACAGAGGACTGATCTCCAAGTCAAACTTTTTCTCCAGGTCACCTGTCAGGTAAACAGCCAGAGTTTATTACAGTTGTCAGAAAAGCCAGAATAGCAGAGGTAAAGAAAAAGATGACAGATTTATGTTAACAGTGGCTCTAATGACTACTTGTTATGTGAAAGCAGCTGCTTTCCCTGGACTCTGCAGCTACCCACTCTCTCTGTGGGACACTTTAGAGTCTTTCATCTCATTGTTTTGGTTTTCCAGCTGCAACTTTACTGTTCTAATTCACTCTCAACACATTCATATTATTTCTGGCTACAGCAGACAGCTGTTTTCAACAAAATGGCTCTAAAAATCCACTTTAAGCATCATCGCCAACACCAAACAGCACACAGTAAAACTTAACAACTAGCTTGGGGGGTGTGCGATATTGGCAAAAAAAAAAAAGTATATTAATACAAACAACATTTAAGAGAAACTGGACTTATTTACTTAAAACGGGAGCATTTAAGTACAACAATACACCAACACTGAAATTGCATTTGCAGAATGATTCCACTTTAGTTCTCTCAGTGTGTTTTTGTGCTGGTACCTTGGCTGTTTTAGTCCTGTCGTCAACAGCTGCCTCACAATGCTTTTCATATTCTTCACATTCTGTGCTGGTTGGTTAGATGGTGAAACAAGCGGTCGATCTGGCTTTAACAGCAACCAATTTAGTTTATAGATTGCTGTCTTTTGAGCAACATCTGTTTTGTCAAATCCAAATCCGTGCGAGTGAGGCTGATCCATGTCAAGCAATTAAATCTAACGGCGTAGACTGCGAGGCTAATGGTGTCTGTAATTTCTCTCGTGTTGTAACTTGGCTAATGCATTTTTAGGCAGCTACGTTTGGTGTGAAGTGGTGATCATGAACACAAGGCTACATGATGCAGTGAATGTGTGGATTCTCATAGCATGTGGCTGTTTTTTTTTAAGTGAGTGACACACAATAATGTCAGCTTGAACATTAAAAAAAACAACAACAATTGAGATACAGTATTATCATAGACGATATATATCGTATACCCCTTGTGGTACACAGCGGACCACTGCGCAGCTAAGAGGAGATGGTTCCATCTCAAAAAGCCAAACCAACATTAACCCCACTTTCTGTATTTTGTCCCACTCTCTGTACAAAAGAAAAGCCTCCTACGGTCTGCCAGGCACTTTCTTGGACTTTTCGCAGACAACAACTCCTCAACAGCTGGCTGTTGAAAATGACTGCTTGTCATTAGGAAAACACTTCTTATAATGTTTACTAGGTGGCAGTGGGGTTAATTTATAAACCATATCCTGCACTGACAACAAAGGGGAGAAAAGTTGGAATAACAACAGAAGGGTTGTAGGAAACAGCGTATCATGGAGTGGGGACAGTGCAGCAATAAGAGATACCCCATCTTGTCCCATTTTCACCATTTATCAGACAATGTGTAAACTCTTAGTTAATGCACCTTTAAATAAAGATGCTAACAAGCACAATGTTAAACATTTTAAAATGTTAATACACGTAGAATTAAAACATCAGTAGTAACTGCTACAAATCATTTTCAGCTTTCAAAGTCACATATTTACTGTAAACAAAGACCATTATTGAGTAAAATATCCTCTACTGGTCATATTTATATATTTTACTCTGAGAGGTATATCACCTTGATGGAATCTGAAGGAAACCTTATTATAAAATTCTTTACAAAATGCTTAATTTTACCCAACAAAAACAACCCAGAAGTAGGTTTCTGTTACTGAAGAAAAGTATTCAGTTTGTCACTTGTTAAATGTATTTGGGTGTCTTGAAAGTATCACAATGAGAAAACACATTTTCTTAAAAGATAGTTTCCTTAAATTAAGGTATACCTAAAGTACTTGTTCATGTCATATCCACCACTTTGTTTTGATCCTAATTTGACTTGAGAGGACACTTTACTCACCCTGCCTGTAGAATTCCTCACACACCCTCTCACTCCACTGTTTGCTCAGCTCCCAAACCCGACATGGGTTACAGATGTCTGCACACTTCAGAGCAATCTGAAGGCAAGGACAACAATGTATAACATCATGTATATTTGCACTTGCTCTACTGCTTAAATGCCATAAATGAAAGTATGAAGTTATTAAGTATAAATTAGAAATGGATTTTTGGTGAAAAATGTATGGATATACTGTACTGTAAGATGGATGTGCAATGTACCTGTAGCATAAAATGCCTGTGTGAAGCAAGCTGAAGGTCCAGGTCCTGGTTGCCCAGATGTTCTCTGAAGGTTGACAGGAACTCATTCTGTCGGCTGATGTCTGTAGCCAGAATGAGAGAGCCCAGCTGCTGCTCCATGTCCTGCCTGCAGAGTAGAAGGGGACACCCTTGAGGCAAAGCAACAAAACCTCTAATACCTCTGCTACCTTTTTACTCTTTACCTGTATACCAGTGACAGCTACATTTTTGGAAATTTATTAGAAAGTTACCATTGTGTCTGCTCTGGTGCACAATGTACACTTCCTGCTGCTTGTTACATGCTAAATAAAGAGCTCCTGTGTTGGTGTTCTCTGACCTTCTAGTGAACGCTAGCAGGTGGAAGAACATGATACCAAATGCATAATGATTATTTAACCATATCAAACAGGCTGATGTATGTCGTTATGTGTGCATGTGTCTGTAAATTCTTTGTAGCTGCTGGGTTTTGAATTTCTAGATGTACAAGTTTGCTAATAAGTTATAAGAAATGTCACTACAGGAATGTCCAAGATTGTCTGTAGTACGTCAAAAGAAAGCTGTCATTACATTGTCTTTTTTACCACAGAGGACTGACAAGTTTATTTTATGACTGGGTAAAATGTCCCACTCCTTAGGGATGTGTTTTACAATTTTCCAATGCCCAATACATTTAAAATATCAATATCATCCTCTAATGTGTGTGCGCGCGCTCTTACGACATGTCAGCAGGCAGGTGTGACAGCAGTCCTGACTCTCGCAACATTCCCACAGTAGATCTCCAGTGGTGACTCTCCAGCACAGATGTGTTCTGTACAGGACAAGTAACATCAAAAATGTTTTCACACAGACACCACCACCATACATACTGAAACACACACCTGCACCCTTGGTATGTACCTGGTAGAGGGACGCCAGGTGGTGTCTGGTCTTGATGAGGAAGGGCTGGTTGACTCCAGGATGGTCCACATCGTGCGCAGCTGCTGCCATCAGACCCAGGAACACATCTGGAAGACTCAGCTGCTCTGCCAGCTACAACACAGTAATGGCCCACAGACACTTGCACTCATTTTAAATTAAATTAAACATGTCTGCTAATCTGACCCTCAAAGTGTTTGGAGAGACATACAGAGAGCACCCTGAATTTATAGAAGTTATAGAATACATCTCATGTCTTTTATAAGTCCGTCCCTACGTCCTTGGTCGACCAAGGACGTAGGGGCGTTCCAAGTCTCTTATGTCGGCTCTGAAGACTGAGGAGCGAGGGCAGACCTGAGGAAAGGACATCTCATGGCGTTAATAAAATGTTTCCTTGAGTCCTTTCTCCTCATGTTTTTCTCGCATCTTACATGGGCGGGAATAAAACATGAGAAAAATACCCAAGTGAGGGAAACGACTGTGTTTATAAGAGACTTGGGATGTACCCACAGAGTCTCATCTCATTACTCTGTCCATTTTTTTAAATAACCGGTAAATATTTTAAGATAATTACTAAACATACAGTGAGTAATATGAAGACATTGGAGTTCTTTGTTGTTTTGGCCACACTTCAACACAGTAGACCTTGATGTAACACCATCAAACTAAACATGACAGTTAGTGCCTCAAACCTAGAAGTTAGTTTTATTTCAAATCCAGTGTTTTGGAATAATGAGCCTAGATAAAATCATCTTAATACTAATGGACCGCATTCAGTCACTGGGATTTAGTTAAGTTCTGACTAAGTTTATTTATTCTTTAATGCAACAACCCTAGTTTGTATATTTTACCTTCCCTTTTGGAAAAGGTCCTGTTGTAATTTAAGTACAATAAAGGACACATACTGTATGTTGCCCTCTAACACAGCTATGGATTTGAATTCAAAACAGACCCAGGTGTGTGTCACAGTGTGGAGACAAAAAGCTTCATGGTCAGTAAAGGACAAACTGGTACAGTATATTGATTGGACAAGCAGCAGGATGTCATGAGTGTCAACTAGTTATTTAATGCACACCAGTATGTGTGCTGTATCGATTTCAATTTATTTGTGTAAGTGCTTTTAACAAAATAGGTGCATCACAAAGTGCTTTACAGAGCAACAAAGGACACAAAAGCAATTACTGTATAAAGGGAAAGATGGAGAGACATAATCTAGTCAGAGGACTTCAGGGATTTCTCCAGGCTGTGGACAGATGTGCTGTCAAGCCTAAGTGAGCAGGAATTATCCTTCATGTAGAAGAGCTAATAGAATATGTCAAGGAGAAACGCAGCCCTAGTTAATTGCTGTAGTGTGTGTATGTGTGAGAGAGGAGGGAGTTGACAGAGAGGGTGTGTGTAAATACAGGATTATGTTTTTTTACCTTGGGCTCCTTCAGGTAGCAGTACATGGCTTGAGTGACATCTGCTGCATGAACAGCATTGTGATAGGGATTCTGGGAGTGGTAGTCCTCCTGCACCATGCCTGGTAAGACAGGAGACAGGAAATCTAAAGCACCTTTCACATGTTAATCTAATATTAATGCAGTTTAGGCAACACTGCTGAAACTGCCATGTAAAGGTCTTACACTGATTGACAGAGAAAAAGCAGTTGACAACAGACATCATTTATCAAATTCTACAAGTCAATATTAGCCATTATTATGACGCACACTCCATCATGGGAGAAAACAAGATAGGACAGAGGATGAATGGGTGGAATCATTGCCACTTTCCAGTAGCTTACTCAGAAACCTGTGCAGTTTGACCATGTCCAGTTGGAAGTGATCAATGAGACCGTAGACACTGAAGAGATGGCACATCAGAGTCACCAGGCTGTTACCTAAAGAATCCACACACATAAATATTCCTACGTGAAATGCCACATACAATATAATGCAGTGAGTCAACTATTTAAAAAATGACTTTTTAATAGAGTACAATTAATAACTGGAATATGATAGTGACAAAAAAGTTATTTTTTAACAAAATGACGATGACATCTAATGACAACCTAAAGTAACTAACTTGGTGGTGGAATTCAGTAGACACCCTGATTCAATTTTACAAAAATTAAAAATGTGAATCATTTTAAAAACAAATCTTACCATTTGTAAGACGATCGAAGAGGAAAATGTCAAAGTTCCATGTGCCTACTTTTGATAGCATATGCTGTAACCGAAAGAGAAGTAGCTGTCAGAACAGATCTGTGATTTATCTGCTTTCACATGTGGCACATGTGATGCAGAGAGCTCAGGACACTGGTATCTCTGCATCTCTGGGGGTATATCTCAATTCCCTTAACTGCATCCATGTTTCGCTCACTTGCATCCCAAATAAGATGTGAGGGAAAATATTGTGAGGACACAAGAGACGTCCCTTCGTCCAATTTGTCATCTGAAGTGTTCAATCACCAACTGATTTTGGTCCATAAAAGACTTCTGTGAAAGAATGTCTCTTGTGTCCTCGCTCCCATCTCCTACAGGCAGCCTTTGTGCTCCTCCCAAACAGAAATAAAGGAACTGGAACATCCTTCATGATGGCAGATTAGAACGACTTCCAAGTCAAGCAAGGATTGAGGACCGATCAGTTAGGGGAGTTGAGATATACCCACTGTGTGTATGTGCCTGTGAGTGTGTCTCTACCGCAGCTTGTCCGAGGTAGTGCTCGTCCAGGAGGTGTAGTGACCCAGGAGCGTGGGGCACCAACCCCCTCAGCAGCCTGGAGGCGTGACAGTATCTCTGGAAACTCAGCAGGCGCTTTACCTTTCTTCTGGTGCCAGACTCTACCTCCCCCTGCTGAGCACTGGCTGGAGATACAAAGACAAAATTTACCAAGCAGAATAGTTGTACACAGCAGACAACCAAGCAATCTGGTAGACCTGGAACAAGCATGGCATGAAGAATGGGCTAAAATTACACCTGAAAGGGGACAAATGCTGCTCAGGTGGTACCCAAAGAGAACATACAAAGCATTAGAGAACATTTCATAAAGGGAGAAGCAAACTTTTGCACTGATATGCTTTCCATGATTTTACTATAAAACTTTCTTTTTATACAATTCCTAACCATTTTTTTTTTACTTCTATTGATGAAGGAACAGTTGTACTAGATGAAAGTATGTTAAATATTAATGCTGATGAGAAAAAAAAAATCTTTTACTGTTTTTGCAATTTCAAATTAAGGAGAGGCAAACCTCTACACCCAACTGTAGCTCTATGTAGGGGCAAAATGTATATGAACATTTAATATTATGATATGGGTAAAAACATATTATGCTTTGTAATACCGTATAACCAGTCAGAACTACTTCTGTACCCATTAGAAACGTTGACTGTCTGTTTTGGGGAAAATGTGGATTTCTAGGCAAATTGACAGCTGTGTTAGTGGACTAACAAATGCTGACATGGGCAATTGATGTACAGTATATTGTGTTATATTTAAATGGGTGAGGAAACATACTTTTCAGGATGTGCAGGTCAATCAACGGGTAGGAGCCTCGTCTCTCAGCCAGCAGCACACCAGCATGACCAGTGCTCAGTCTGCCATCAGCTAGACAAAAAGAAAAAGAAATGGGGGGAGGAACAGGAGAAAGTAGAAAGATAGATGCACAAATATTAACATTTGGTGTTAGAACAGACATTCTGTTGTGGCCATCATTGGCAGCCACAGGCCCAAAATCCATAAAGGGAGAGGAGGTGAGTGTTGAGACTAAGGACAATGGCTGAATGGCAAGTTAAGCAGCCAGCAGGGTGATAAGAGGACAACTGTGCCAAGTGTTCCTCCAGTGCTGTGTATAGCTGTTAAACATAATTAGCCGCTATCAAAATCAGATTTAGAGTTGTATTTAAATAAGCTTTTGTGAAACAAGAGGCTCTTTAACACTGCTGAATCGTCAGCATCACGCATCTGGCCCCAGTTTGCCCGTGGAGAATGGATTTCATGCTATGGTGCAGATGTTGTGATGCATGTCTGAACACTGATTATCAGACTGGTGCTACATGGACTGGACAAACAGGAGTGGATGTGGAATTTTTAATTTTCTGCTACAAATCAGTGGTTTTCCATTTGAACCTAAATCATAATACCCACTTTTAAACAAATGACAAATGTTTTCCAGCAAAGAAAAGGAAATCTGTATTACTCATATGTTTGACATGCTGACACCTTTTCTCCTAAAAGGATATTATGCGTTTTTGTATGAATTCCTTCCACAGGAAATGTCTGCAGAAGTCCCAGAAGTACCTTAGGGGTTTTAGTGCTTTGCTGTGTGAGCATCTATCAGAGGAACGGGAACAAAACACAACAATAGATCCTTGAATATTGAACAGTACCTCTGTTTAGGGTGCAAAACATACACGCTGAAGTCTGTGACAAAAAGACAACCGACGTATGTCACAGCACACACATGAAATTTACACATAAATAAACTGAAACAATGGGAATACTGAGTAATTTACAGATCACATTTGTGGAACTGGGGCATTTTAAGCAGCTAAACCACCTGTTAATGGGGTCGGAGTCACTGTGGTAACTCCCTTGGGTTGCCTGATCTTGCCTTTCAAGCGTGGGTTGCCAGTGGCAGAGTTTGCAGGCAGGTGTTGTGTTTTTGGTAAATGTATATATGTTTGCGTCTGTGTGTAGGCTAGGCAGCTATACATAAAACATATTGTGGAAAAGTGACACTGTAGGTATGCATGTTCTCACCCAACAATCAAATATAAACCACTCAGCTTGTTAAAGTGAGACAAAGGAGTCCTGCTGACCTAGTTTGAGAAAGAAATAGAGAAAAAGGGGAAAGCCTCTGCTTTTGTGTCCTGCATGCTGGCAGGGAAGCAGAGAAGGCAATACATCATCTGGAAAAGCCACTGCAGTAATACTCCGATCACCCCCACTCACACACACCACCCTCTGGCCATCTTCCTTCACTCTAGCTATCTCGCCACACTTCTATTATATGTCAGTCCATTCTTCATTCCTTCACAACTTCTGGCTCCTGTTTCATCCTTTGCTCTCTTGATTACTACCCCCTCAACCTTCCCATCATGCTTCTTCCTTCCTGTCCAACAACAGCCCCCCCCAAACTCTGTGTGGTAAATAGGTCATTGTCTCTGCACTGAGCAGAATTGGGTCACTGAGGATAAAAACATGAATCAGTTGGAAAGGGTGTTTAAAGACGCAGCAACGCACATGTGCCTCATCATGCACTCGTGCATGAACAGTCGCTGCACACGCACACTTGCAAATGAGGTTAAATCCCTGATTCAAAATGCAAAAACAAGATCGCACACTTGGCACACATCAAGCACACACACTTACATGTTACTATTGCTGGCTCTGTGAGGACACACTGACCTAATGTATTCCCAAACTCCTTACCCTAGAGCTTGACCATGACAAAAAAAAATGCCTAACACCGACCTAACACCTAATTCTAACCTGAGCTCTAAAGGTCGGATCCCTCAAGAGAGCCCTTTGAATGAAAATCTTCACTTGGTGTCACTGAATCAGTGGGTGTTTACAGCACAAATTGTTCTTTGTGGCTGTTTTTTTCTTCTCAAAAAGGGACAGTCAGACACGTTGTTGCCATATGCAGCATCAACACTCAAATACAAACAGTTTTAAACACACTCGCAGATGATGCTTCCTGCTGCTGCTTTATCTGAATACAAGGTTAAATACAATGTGCACACACACACACACACAGCTAGCTGAAATGTAGCTAATGTACAGGCAATGCTAACGCTTTCTTTTTTTGTGTGCTTATGGTCTGACTGTGTCAGAATCCATATAAGTAAAAGATGTTTTGAACCCAGGTTCCTCTAGTCCACTTTTTGAGGTGATCAGAGTCCACATGTAAAATTCTGACTGTGTCAGAATCCATATAAGTAAAAGATGTTTTGAACCCAGGTTCCTCTAGTCCACTTTTTGAGGTGATCAGAGTCCACATGTGAAATAAACAAACAAACAAAAAATACAAAACAAAACTGGAATTCAGACATTTGTTCATAACAATTTAGGTATTATAAAAGAAAACTGAACAAACTGAAATCTTTTGCCTGTAATCTTTGGATGAGATGCTGAACTGCCCTAAGCCAGGGTTGTTCTGGTCTTTTCAGTCCTTGCTATGATAAATGTCAGAATGACTCACCATCACCACTACGGCATCTTGTGATGTCTTGACACATTGTACATGATAATAAAAACTGTGCAGCCAGACTTTCACTCATTGTAAGAAGTCGTGAAATGAAGGAGGTTGTCACCACTCAAAGGGAAAGTTACAGGCAGCGAACAGTTTACATTTGTAATTCATCACCTTATGATTCACACAGGTAAACCCCCACAGTATTAATCATCTCTTCTTCTTAACTCTTCAAAAAACACAAAGATTCACATGTATATTGTTGAATGTTTACACTTGGTTACTATTGGAAGTATTTTTCTATAAAAGCTATTTTGTTAATGACAGTATTTATTGTTTTCTTTATATGCTAAAGTTAATCTTACACAGCGACATGCGGGTATCGCTAAATGGCAATGACATGACTTTATCACAAAAGATAAAAAACATAATCAGACAAACATTCAAATACAAAAACAATTTTCCACAAATATCATTCTGAAGAGAATAAATGTATACAAAATATTAAATACCAGAAAATATTATATCAAAAACAAAGTTGTGTTTTCTATTATTAATTCATTTTAATGTAGTGAACACACAACACAGCTGCTGGATCAAACCTAAATAATAACATAATTTATACATCAAACATTTATCAGGAATCTTGACTCCCAAAAGCAGTACTATGTTTTATGTGTGAGTTACCTTCCAGGTGTGTAATGCTTTCCTTTACGTCCTGCTTCCCCTCCTCTACATCCTCCTTGTCTGCATCTACCCAAGTGCTCGCTTGACTTCTTTTGTGCCCTTGAGGGTCTCCCCTGCATGCCCTCCAGGCTGCCCTGAGCTGCCGTATGAGAGCTGGAAGTTGCAGGGCCAGTGAAAACCCCCTGCAAGAAACCGGGGGGGTCCTGAGCGGATCCCACACTGGCGAGTGGGAAGTCTCACCTGGACAGACCCCTACGTCAAGCCCGACGCCTAGACTGGAGCCCCGCGTTCTGAGATCTGGGCCCCAGAGCCCCTCTAACACTGGCATCCTCACACCACACAAAGATACATGAATGATTTACAAGTGAACAGAAAGATCAAAGTAAAGAGGGGGTCAAAATGGTGGGACCAAAAAAAAAAGAGAGGAAGAGAGACAGCAGAAGGAGAAGCTCACTGTCAGGAAGCCATAGGTGAAAAGAGGACAAACTGAATGGATGTAGGACAGGAACAAAGACTGCAGAGGGAGACAGAATCAACAGGAGGAATGACAGTAGGAAACAGAAAGTGTGAGTCAAGGAGAGCAGAAACAAACAATGTGAAGAGCAGAAAAAGAAGAGAATCCATGTGCATCACTCTCTCCCAGAGTCGGCCACTGACAATTTGCTCCCTCCTTCTGCCGCATTCTCTCTCCCCTCTATAACCCCAGTTGCGCCAGTGTTGTTGTGGAGTCTAAAAGCCCCTCCTCTCCGCACTCCGAGCTCACTCACACACACTCTGTCTGTATGCTGCAACTCTGACAACAGACCAATAGGATTCGTGTGAAAGTTAATGGGGCTCTGGCTTCACAGACCCATCCTATGTGGAACCCAGGTGAACATACACAAAAACGTGCACAGAGACTTTCCCTCCCCACATGGAATTCTGCAACAAATACTAAAATTAGCATCCAATATAAACTATCTGTAAAGCAGTTTATGTGCAGCACTATTTTTAGTATTTGAGGTATTTTTTTCAATTATTTATATAAATGTTCAGTCAATAAATTGCCTGAAACTGATGAAAATAGTGAAAAATGCCCATCACAATCTCCCTGAGCCCTAAGAGAGGTCTTTATATGTCTTGCTTTGTCCAGCCAACGTCCTAAGTCTATTCCAATTATGAAATAAAATGAAATCCAGCATTTAACCAGCAATTAATTGTCTAATTGTGCACATAGTTGTTTAAGCCTTGGAGCACACATGCTTGTCTCCCAACAGAACAGGATAATTAACTTGTTCTGCTTGAAGGTACATGGCACACTGTGAGTCATTTTTTATTACAGCTCACTGGCATAAAAACACTTGAGCGGGTTTGTTTTGATTTACTTGTGTTGAAATCTTCTGTCCCAGTGACTAACCAGCCTTGGGTTTAGACACAACTAGGATTTCTGATAGGAGCAGAAGAACGGGAAACATCACAGCCTTGGTAGTTTGAAGAAATGTCTTAGGGAAACAGTAAAATGGTGGAATTCAAGACGACTGCCTCAGGTACTGCTGTATGAACTCTAACTGGACTTACATAAACTTATGAGATTTCCACTTTCACTCAAATCCAACTTAGGACTCAGTCATGGCTACATTTGTATTACCTACTATTTGTGTTCTAAAACAAAATCTTGTAAAATGTTTTAATGGCCTGAAGTGAACCAGCTTTAACTCTAATGGATTTACAGGAGTGAACATTCATTTGGCACTGATACACTCTCTACCTGTCATCAGTAAATATCACAAACACCAATGGTTTCTTCTGGTTGCTGACAACCACATGTTAACTAGCAAGGCTCCAAGTGAATGAAAGAAGTTCTATGTATAACCATGTGAAGGATGTGGTGCTGTGGCCATGGCATGTTCCCGCTGAAGTGTTCGCTTGAGAAAGTCACAATCAAACAAAAGCACTGACACACGCAGGCACAGATAGGCAAACAGCCTTGAACATCACATGTGGAGCACAGTAAGTCAACTGCAAAAAATCGTGAAATAAAGAGCATGGAGATAAAAGATACAAGCTGTGAGGAAGTGTGAGAAGCAGGCAATGACACAACGTACAACGTTTATGAAAATGCACCCATGACTATGTACTCACTGTACACTTGTTGGTTTCATGATGCCAAATCATAATTCTAATCAGCCCTCCAAATGTAAAACAACCTCTAACATCTGCATGAATGAGCGTGACAGTGACAGGGATCGCCAGGACTGAATCACATGTGGCTGTTAACAGATGAGAATATGTGAATAAAGCTGCAAAAGAATAATAGCAGCAAACAAGCAGAACTAGGAGTTTTAACTGTGTGGATGTGCAAAAAGAAGTGACAGAAAGTAAGAAACTGTGAAACAGTGATAATGGCACAGAATGAGAGAGAGAAACATATCAGAGACTCAACGAGATCAGTGGGAGTCTCGATGAGTAAAGCTGGGAGTCGGCCAGTGGACTGCTGGCTCCAAATGATCCCTCCCTCCCCTTCAGTGTGTCTCACTGCGCGCGCGCACACACACACACACACACACACACACACACACACACACACAATGCACAGGATCAAATATGATAAATTCCACTCAGTCTGCGCTGTGACAGACCCCTATTTTTGATTCTCTTTAAAAATGCTACTGGTCACATTTTCTGGCAGGCTGCTGTAGAGAAGTGGGCCAGCCACTGAATTAAATGCCCTGTGTTTATGTATTTGCTTGTTCGTGTTTGTGCAAGTGTGTAAACGTGGGCGCAGTTATTTTGCAATGCTAATTTACACACTGCCTTGACTTTATCTTTCTAACAACTTTAGGTTATTTCACACTTTTTTCCTGGGAACATTTAAACAACTCTGATATTAATACGGAAGAAAAAGCTTCGGCTACATTTCAAGGTCTGAATCATCAAGGTCGGAGACTGCACTGTCGTTATGATAAACAGCTACATCTTAGTGTCGCCAATCCAGACACTGCTTCAAAAACACAACTTGAGCAATACTCAGCACAGTTACACTTGCAAGAACACAGGCTTCTCAACAAGTTGGACTTCTACAGAGTTGTGAAACTTGCTGCATTGAGCACCAAAAAAATCCGTTCAAATGGACAGCGTAGTATACACAGATATCAGAAATGTGTTTCTGTTTGACACGGAGATTACACTGGGCTAAAGGTTAATGAAAGCCTGAAGCACGGTTACCACAGATTTGGAACTGACTACATACAGTATATTGAAGGCCTTTTGCATCGTGGGTTCGGGTCAGTTAGCGTTCTTACCCAGCATGCGAACTTGTATGGCATTCTGCTCCGACCTTTTAAATGTGACCGCTCCACACCTCTGTGGCAGAGCGAAAGAGGGAGAGAGAAACAGAGATTTGTATTACAACACCCAAAAATACACACTGCCACCAAAGGGCATCAATGAACCTCCCTGAGAAAGAGAAACTGTGCCAAAAGTCTCACAGTCTTTCGCACAAGCACTTAAATTCTACGGCAAAGTTCAGCTCTACAACTCTATATCAACATTACATATATTAATATATTACTTAAGGGATGCTAATTCTGATTATTAAGTGTATCAATGTAAAAAGTTAACATTGAGCCTTGCACTTTCATACACTGTAAATGTAATCTGTTAGTGTAGCTCATTGCATTATATCCTCACTGACTTCAGTCAATTCTCTGAATGATTTGTTTGATCTTACTGAACCGTGCATCCACTCAGCAGTTAAGATGATGATGATGCTTAACAGTTTAACACATCTCTCCATCTGTTTTATTCTACATCCCAAACTGAATCATTTATTTGGAACTGGATCCAACACATCTGTTTAAAAATAACCAGCTAAGTGAATAAGAGAGAGTATGGTAGTACTATCGGTAGTGACATGTCTAATTCCATGTCATTTTTTCATCATTAAAAAGCTGTTAGTAGTTAAACATTTACCATGATGGTGAAAGGTTACTTAACATACTGTATGTTAATTATTGTTTAGTGCTAAAAATGTTAAACAAATCAGAAAATAATTAGATATGCACATAACGTACAGTAATAAAGCTTGTTTTTTTGTTCAACCAACAACTCAAGACAACCAAAACATTCAGTTGACTATCTTACAGCACATGACACAGAACAGCAGCAAAGTTTTACATTTAAAAAGCTGGAACCAGCATATATATGCATTTTTTGAATGAAAAATGGCCCTGCAATGGACTGGCAACCTGTCCAGGGTGTACCCTGCCTTCGCCCGATTGCTGGCTGGGATTGGCTCCAGCCCCCCTCCGTGACCCCGGTTGGGACTGAGCAGCATAGAAGATGAATGAATGAATGACTGAAAAATGACTCCAAACTAATTGATTGTCAAAATAGCTGCAGCTTTATTTTCCACTGCTATACTAACCATTTAAACAACTAATCATTCCAACCTGATTAATACCAAACCTCTACTTGTGAATCCCGAGTGATCCAGCCTTCTGCTGGCTGCAAAGTAATGGGAGTGTTGTCAAACATTTTCCACTGTGGCTTTTGAATCAACAATACCTTGCCCAACTCACACTGATGAGTCAAAACTGATCAAGTACACAAGAAATGTCCATTGTACCCTGATCAGAGATCAGCTCCCAAGTCATACTACAATCCAAAATCCTTTTGGGAGGTTGTCTATTTATAATGCCTAGTAATGGCTATAATACTTATAACAGCTTCAGATCGGTGTATAGTGGACAAGCGTGAGAGTGGTCTCAGTACACTAAGCAATGTGGTTTTATTCTAGAAACATGAAATCAAAGACACACACATGTGCATATCTGACAGAGACCAGGTACCCTACACAGTGCTCAGTGGTTCCCCTCTGGTGGAAGACAGTCATAAATGTATACCTCGAGTAGGAGGGTTTACATCTAAATTAGTGGACTGTTGTTTACTGGCGGGCAGGAAACGGGTGGATGGAGTCAAACCAGAGGCAATGACTGTTCACTCATCCAGCCCACATGGCTATCACGTTTGCATGATGCCCTCTTGTTTCCATGAACTGTACTTCTGTGCTCACATTATTCACTTCATCTGAACGGCCTTCCGATCAAAGCCCCTCTATTTGCTCAAAGCCAGCTTCTGTCAAATGCTTCACATTTGGCAAATTTGTTCACTTTCCCATTTGTGCTGGGAAAAAGGATTTGGACAAGAATTCGGAAACAGGACCACTGATGACAATGTGTGTGTGTAAGAAGATTAAAATTAAGGTCAAGAGATGGTAAACCCCCCTTTTAAACTCTATTTCGTGTTTTTGGAAAGAAATATAAACACATTACATAACATCAGAATAATAAGAGACAAACAATTAGGGGGCAAAATCAAAATAAATGGGTAACCAAGCACCAAGTGCTTATTTAAAATAAAGCAGTAAACAGTCCAGATGGCAAACAATATACAGTATACAAGTGATAACAACCGAGCCACCTCCACCCACTAGAAAAACCATGAGATATCTTACAAAGCTCTGGAAAAAAACTAGCTGGTGGACTTCATACTCTTTTTGTCAAACTCTTTCCAAGTTCAACAACTACCACTGTGTTTAAAGCTTTGCAAGTAGCAGGAACCTGAGCAACAGATTCTTCTTACCGGACTCTGATGCTCAAACTGCACATCTGTTTTTAACACGAGTGCAAATTTAACATAATAAAGTCCCTTGTTTTCACAACACATGGTCTGTAGCATAACAAACAGCAGGCCTTCATTGTAACGTATCCTATTGTAGCTCGCTCCACTGCACTGCTGTCTACAGGTTGTTTGCAGTGTCCAGACTGCAGGTTGACTACTGTAAAGCTGTCAAAAGACTGATGTGATACATTGCAATAACTCCCAAGGCCAACCGTAGCCTAATACTGCAGCCTATAGAATATAGATGAAGGTCTGCACCACAAAACTCTCACCATTCAACACCAGAGTCAGCAGCCTATAAACTCACTACCTGGAATCAAAACATTTTAGCTTTTGGGAGAATATACCCCACTCATAATTTTATAACAACACCATAGCACAAAGTACCCTACACATAAACCATCTGTAGTAAACTCTCTTTTCCAGCAGTACAGACAGTTTAAGGGTCCTTACAGGAACACTGTATGAATGTAACAGAGGTTCTGGGTCTTACCAGGCCTCTTCCAAAACAACACAACCCAGTCTGTGTGTGTTATCATGGAAGTCCTACGCAGCAAGTACAGCTGGGGAGTCGACTTACCTCGACCATTAAACAGGACATTTAACCATCGTGGTTGCTCGAGGGCGGTAAGTGAATGCGACGGAATCAGGCGCGTGCGGAGTGTTTTCATGTCACGGGAAGCGCAGGACCGAACCGCATACAGCAGGACGAAAGGTGACTGTGCCCTGGTTGACACTTGTTTAAAAAGCTAACTATTTCATCCTCCTCCCGCGACTTTGTCTGCTCGTACTTGTCCCCTAAGGACACTTTTAGCTCTTTAAAAGCCTAGAGAAAGTTGCCGTTTCCCCCGCCGCGCCTGTCCGCGTGCCGTGCGTATGCCTCTGTTGTGAGCCGCAGAGAGAAGCGAGGGGAGGGGCTGGTTCTAGCCTCACAGAGGCGGGACATGTGCGGAGGGAACCAATCAGCGCTGAGTACAAGTACTGATTTCAGTACAATTCATGCTCCTTAATTAAATAGTGTTTTATTTGGGGATACTAAAGAATGACTTACATAAGGAAAATATGTTCTTCATACAGCAATGTGGCACCACATGGCTCCTCCACTGATGAAGAAGTCCCTATGGAGGTAGACAAAGGGTAAGAAACCCTCAATTCTAGCAAAGCATTTCATTTATTCTATTAACAACCACTATAAATATGATAAGTAATGGCTATGTAAGACATAAGTACTGTACACAGATGTACAGATGTTGCCATTATTAGGTTCTCTGTTCTTGTTCATGTAATATTACAATGACCAGGTATAAAGTGGCATAAAACAATAGTTTGTCAGTTTGGTAAATCTACATCACTGATATCATGCTCATATTAAAGGATTTTTGAGCTAACCTTCTGTTTTATTTACCACAGTCTTGAGAAGGGGCCACCCCTGGATGCCTCCCTGGGGAGCTATTCCAGACATGTCCCTCTGGGAGAAGGCCTCGGGGCAGACCCAGGACACGTTGGAGAGACTATGTCTCCTGGCTGGCCTGGGAACACCTTGGGGTTCCTCCTGAGGAGCTAGAGGTGTGTGGGGAGAGGGAAGTCTGGGAGGCTCTGCTCGGACTACTACCCCTGCGACCCGGTCCCGGATAAAGATAAAGATGGAGGAGGTGTATACTGTATACATCAATTGAAAGAGCATCACTCCATTGTGATTTGGAGTTAATAAAAATATACAATCAAACCTCCCTTTCCATTGTGATACAAACCCTCTACAAACCACAAAAAAGAAAAGAAAAGAAAAGAAATGTAGGTCAGTTGCTGCAGTAGTAATCCATTGGTGAGGCACATCTGGGAGAGCTGTGACTGGCTGATCAGAAGTTATCATTTAATGGGGTATCAGGTGACGGTGTCCCTGACTGCGTCTGGCATGGTGAGGAACCTGGAACAGAGGCGTCAGGTTAGCAGACCTGCACACAGCCTAAATCTTACAGGCTCAAAATTTGCAACAACACAGTACGGGGGACAAAATTAAAAAAGCACTTTGCAAAAAAAAAATCATTTACAACATGTGGCCCGGTTTCACATCTTTTAGCTGACAGGTCTGTGTTATGCCCCGTTTCCCATCGCCTGGTACCGGCTCAACTCAACTCTGGTGTCATCACATGTAAACATCCGGGTTCATCGGTGGCTGCAGAGTAGTGATGATTCTCTCTGACCAATCACTAGTCTGCAGTGTTTACACGTCATTGTTTGGTATCACCTCAGCTCGCTTGGTACTAAAAATAGTACTAGGCACCAGGTACTCTCCCCATTAATTGATTGATTGAAAAACTAATTTTGTGACTGGTTCTCTACGCAATGTGAAAATGTTTAAAAGGAAGAAAAATGTAGGTATCCTGACGACACCACATCAGATCTGACACTTGGTTTCAAAAATGCTAAATCTCAGAAAAGCACTTACTGCATACAGCTTCTAATCAACAACCTGTCATATTGCACTTCCTTTCAGTATAGTAGTGTGTGAAAATGAACCCAAAACTGTGCTGAAATACAAGAATATAAGTTCTCCATTTCCAAAACCCATATACAAATGTCTTAGTATACCAAGGAATCAATGAATAGACTAAGACAAAGGCGTGTGAGGACAGGGTGTGAAGATGGGAAAAAACCTTGGGAGTGTCCGGGCTGCCAAAAGGTGAGAGTTCTCGTGAATTCTCTTTGTCGGAGGAAATGTTATGGCGATGATGGGCAAACTTTCTCTTTAGTGCCTCAGCAATAAGAGCAGCTGGGTCGTTAATCAATGCGGTGCCTCCCTTACTGTGTCTTCGGAGAGGTGTGCCCCCTGGTGATCTGGAGGAAAATATTTAGTGAGGGGACAGATATTACAAAAGGTAACAAAGGAATCAAATTATATTAATGAGGAAAAAAATACAACTGACTACATACAGTATATTGAAGGCCTTTTGCACCGTGGTATTCAGGTCAGTTAGCGTTCTTACCCAGCATGCGAACTTGTATGACATTCTGCTCCGACCTTTTAAATCTGACCGCTCCACACCTCTGTGGCAGAGAGAAAGAGGGAGAGAGAAACAGAGATTTGTATTACAACACCCAAAAATACACACTGCCACCAAAGGGCATCAATGGACCTCCCTGAGAAAGAGAAACTGTGCAAAAAGTCTCACAGACTTTGCAAGGCCTCTTTCGCACAAGCGCTTAAATTCTACAGCAGAGTTCAGCTCTACAACTCTATATCAACATTACATATATTAATATATTACTTAAGGGATGCTAATTCTGATTATTAAGTGCATCAGTGTAAAAAGTTAATGTTGAGCCTTGCCAGAAGGACAGAGAGAGAAACAAGACATAATAAAGGTACTTATGGGTAGAAACAATTACTTGTTGGTTGATAGTTGTTAAAGAATTCATTTGTTAAATCCATGAATAAATATGCTGTCCTTTGAAACAATAAACAACATTTCTCGTAAGCAATGCTGACACCTGGTGGAGCAGAAGTTCAAGTGACTGCAGTACTGTGTACATATAGTCTATGTACTGTAGTATGCACAATGTGTATATGAATGAGCCAAAGTCATTCAAAGAACTAAAAATACTTTGAGGTCCTAGATAAACAGTAGAAACATAAAGAAGCAATATTTTTCCAGTTGTTTTATTTTGTCCGCATTGTTTCCTCTATTCTGCAAAACATAAAAGATACAAGCATAATAGCATGAAGTGTACACCACATTAAACTGTTCTGTTTTGGTAAATGAATCAAATTTTGTAATCTAAGTTGACTTCTGTTTTCACCTTTTCATTATGCAGTGCCATAAAGTTATATCTGATACAGTTCAGCAAATGGTGACATTTACAAAATTGTAGTGTTGGGGGCAGAAAGACACTTGGGGGTGTCCCTCAGAATGCCTTAAGAGGGAAGCACATGGCGGGATCCCCCGTAATGCCTCTCTGGGTGACATGTATTTGGTTCAGGGTTGGTGGGGTTGGGTGCTGGGTGTGTCCTGTGTTTGGTCTGTGTGTGGCAAATAAAAATCTTGAATCCTTGAATCTCTGTTGTTGCAAGTTTGAATGAATCATTTTAGAAAAACATTTGCATGTTTTAGTTTCCTTTTTGATTTTGTCACTTCAGACTAAAATGTCCTAGCAGGTAACTGCAGAGTCCTAGTCTATTCTGATGATGATTTTATGTTGATTTGTACATCCATCCATCCATCCATCATCTATACCGCTTATCCTTGTGTAAAATTTCAAACTAATTCTGTCAGATATGAGCAAGATCATAACATACTGAGAGGGGGCAATTATAGGTTTATACATTATATAGAGATACCTTTCTAATACATTTATCTCTTCTGTTCCATAAAGGTTTCATTAGTGGCACTAGTTTCATTTAGTACAAATGGAGAGAGTGATTAAGTAGTGTGATAAATTTAAGTATCATGTTTCCTATGATTCATAGTACTTACGTTGATCTAGTCTGTACACATGACATCGATTGCTCTTTGGATTTTGTGGACAAAAACTGTAAAAAAAAAAAAAAAATCAAAAAGGCATGGTACTTGTGAATTTGAATGTAAGACATTTTTAGGGTTTTCAGTGACATTTGAATATCCCCAAGCATTTTCAGTGTTAGGCGTACTCTAACTGAACGTATAACAGAGCATTACTTAGCTATCGCCCACTGCACTGAACATACTGAGCATGGTTTTCTGCACTAACTTCTGACTTTCCTTCAGTAAGGGACGTGCACCTCTGCACTGCATCCACTGTTACTCAGAGAACTGAGCTGTCATTTCTAGGTAACCTGTGGTAACCCAGTAAATCACAATAGCTAGTTTACAGTTTATGTTATGTATGAAGGTTGATCACATGTCCAAACTTCATTAGACTGTCAAACTTACTGGCAGTCTGTCACTTATTATTTGACATAATTTAACTAATAACTGATTGAATAGATACAAGTTTCTTCAACATAGCAGTATACATCCTGTTTTCTATCAAACAGAACTGGTTTGTGGGTGGCCACAGCTTACATACTTTTTATACGGTTCAGTTTCCGTTGAGAAGTGAAACAGATCAACTTGCTCATCTGTAGAATGCAAATGGGAACGGTACAGAAGTCTGATTTCATTTTTGTTCTTCACGACATAGGAAAGGAGTTGGCCTCTTCTAAGTCTGTGAAATTACTATAAATGGTACAATTCAGAGGAAATCTCTAATAGATAATTAATACAACCAACATGGATTGGTGTCAATTATCGCTTCTTCTCAGTGGACTAACATGGACCAGCATAACCAGAAGGACAAACCTAGGTAATTGACTTTCTGTACAAGATTCTCAAAAAAAAGGTATGACGTTTAACAGTTTAGGGAGAAATGAAGAACAATTTAATGTATTTATTTAGGAAACTTGGGTTGTCAGCATTTTTCAGGTTTTTAATATTTTCCACTGTGAGTTTCGTTTTAGAAATAAATTAGGTTTAGATTTTTAAGATAAATCTATAATATATTCTTTCTTTCCGTAATATAAACAAAAACACAAATAAACAATACTTTTCAGAAATAACCTAGTCCAAGCAAAGGATTTTCTGTAATTATTTAAACTGAATAGCTGTTAACATTCTTGTTAATTATGACATGCGGTACGTAACGCTAGTTATGGTCTGAGAAACTTACCCTGGTGTGACGTATTGTTTCTGAACGAAGACGGAAGAAATACAATGGCAGCTCTTGAAAAAACAATCCATGTAAGCAGAACAATTTAATGTATTTATTTAGGAAACTTGGGTTGTCAGCATTTTTCAGGTTTTTAATATTTTCCACTGTGAGTTTTGTTTTAAAAATGAATTAGGTTTAGATTTTTAAGATAAATCTATAATATATTCTTTCTTTCCGTAATATAAACAAAAACACAAATGAACAATAATTTTCAGAGATAAACTAGTCCAAACAAAGGATTTTATGCAATTATTTAAATCAAATTTTGACACAGTTAATATTGTTAACTATTACAGTACTGCATGCGGTACTGTAATACTAGTTAGGAACCAGTCTGAGGAACCGGTGTCACGTGTACTGCCTTTCTGAACGGAGACGGAGGAAATACAATGGCGGCTCTCAAAATAAAAATCTGTGTAAGTAAAATATGGTCTTAAATAATATATTGTTATCTAGTGTGCATTATGTGTTTTGGTTATTTTTTCCCTTATGGCCAGGATGCCAAAGAGCGAACAGCTACTGGCCATATACAAGGCCCGTACAGGTACGCAGACATAATTTAACCTAAACATGCATTTTCTACATGCAATATGTGGACTTGCCTTAGTAATATAAAAAGACATTGTATGGTGGCCCTGAGAGCTCAGTGCATTGCAACTTGAGAAAACCCATTCAATTAAACAAAACACTACCAAATTAAGAAAATACTTTCATCAATTAGACCAAAGATGTGCAGCATTTAGAAAACATGTAGCAAATACAAAAAACACAACGAAACCTAGAAAGCACATTTCTGCATTTGGTTGCGTTTTTCCATTATATGATGCATTTCATCTTGACAATACATTTTGGATTATATTGCAGACTTCAATCGAGTGTGTGGACAATAAAGATGGACGGTCTGGTGTAATCATCTATGCTGATAAAACTTTCACCAACTCTTCTCAACAAGTAATATTTATAGCATTTACTTTTTAATGTGTACAGCCAAAATCAAATTAAAATATGGTCTTAAATAATACATTGTTATCTAGTGTGCATTATGTGTTTTGGTTGTTTTTTTTTTCCTTATGGCCAGGATGCCAAAGGGCGAGCAGCTTCTGGCCATATACAAGGCCCGTACAGGTACGCAGACATAATTTAACCATGTAAAGCCTGACACATCAAAAATTGCCAGAACAAAAATTTACGAACTGAGATGTTTATTAAACGTTTTAACACAATCCAAAAGAAAATTCAAGATTCAAGATTTAAAATTTAAGATTTTTATTTTCCATTTATGCATAGACAGTCCAGGCATATAGGAATAAATGTGCCATATTATTTTTATTTTTTTGTATCACATTTGGTACTTTTGTTTGTTCCGAAACCTGCGTAGCAAATATGATACAAATGGCTTTATAGGGTTAACATAAATATGCATTTTGTACATGCAATGTGTGGATTTACTTTAGTAATATAGAAAGACTAGTTGTTTGTCCCATCTTAAGTTGCAATATTACAGCTACTGTGACCAAAGAATGACTTACATAAGGCAAATATGTTCTTCATGTTTCTCTGTTTATCTGTCCTTGTATGGTGGCCCTGAGAGCTCAGTGCACTGCAACTTGAGAAAACCCATTCAAATAAACTAAACACAACCAAATTAAGAAAACACTTTCATCAATTAGACCAAATATGTGCAGCATTTAGAAAACATGCAGCAAATACAAAAAACACAACCAAACACAGAAAGTACATTTCTGCATTTGGTTGCATTTTCTATATTAACAGTACTTCATGTAGCTGATTTTGTTTTCTATTTTTGCAGCGTCTTTGTGTATTTGGTAGTATTTTCTGTACTTGCCACGTTTTCTAAATGCTGTGCATCTGCCGTCAAATTGATGAAAGTATTTTCTTAATTTGGTAGCGTTTTGTTTATTTGAATGCGTTTTCTCAAGTTGCAGGACACTGAGCTCTCAGGGCCACCGTACCAAAGTCAGAACATTATGTCTCTCATGTAGCATTTATTTCATCAGTCTTTATGAAAAATGAAGGTGTTATGATAATTAAGTAATGTCTATGTAAGACATAAAAGCTGTACATACAATAGTTTGACAGTTTGGTAAATCTACTTCACTGATATCATGCTCATATTACATGATCTTTGAGCTAACCTTCTGTTTTATTTATACACTCCCATGGAGTGTGATCCCCCAGAAACAGCATGCAATGCACAGACCAGGTAAGATGTCTATAAAGCTACATGTGTATAAATTTTATTGACAGTCCTTTGCACAAATTGCTTTCTTTAAAAGAAAACCAAAAGTCTGCCAATAAACTGTTAAGTGTAGGTGGATGATGCTGATGATGAAGAGGAGGAGAGAGGATGACTAGATGATTGTATGGTTTCCTCTTTAAATAATAAAGTAACACTAAAATGTGAAGTGTGTTCTTTCAGTAGATTATGTTAGATGAAGAATACTGTGTGGCTACTGAGGCCTGAAGCTTCACAAGTCACCGGTGCTTCAGACATTTGCAGTAAACAGCTTTCTCTGGGGGAGGAAGGCTGGAGCGGCTATTTTTCCAGAGGGGCATCACCTCAGACAAGGCTTTGTAAAAACAGCTGTCACCTTGAGATTCAAGACACAAGTTAGATGAGTCTATTTTGATGGTCCCAGTCAGACCATAAAATAAAACCTTATTATTTCAAGTTTTTTAAAAATTAAAATCACACATTAAAATAAGGAGCTAATGATCATTCAGTAATTAAGACAGGGGTGTATTTGGTACCAGGATTCCTTCTTTCCTTGGAGTTCCTCTCCTGCCCTCAGAGTTCTTGGGAACATTTTCAAAATGAGTTGCTCTTGTGGCTCATCTCTGCATTTTCTGGCATTTGTATGGGAAATGACAGATAAATAAAAGGTACTTACACTGTAACATCAGAACATCTGACACTGATAGATTACTCACATGTGGGAATTTGGACTTCTCATTTTAATACTAAACATCTCCACCATGATACATCATGTGAAACGTAATTAGGCCAGTGGGAAATGTTTAATATATACAGTATATATGTTTGCGTCTGTGTGTAGGCTAGGCTGCTATACATAAAAAATATTGGGGAAAAGTCGCATTCTGTATATGTACGCATGTTCTCACCCAACAAACAAATATAAACCACTCAGCTTGTTGAAGTGAGACAAAGGAGTCCTGCTGACCTAGTTTGAGAAAGAAAAAGAGAAAAGGGGGATAGCCTCTGCTTTTGTGTCCTGGATGCTGGCAGGGAAGCAGAGAAGGCAATACATCATCTGGAAAAGCCACTGCAGTAATACTCAGATCACCCCTACTCACACACGCCACCCTCTGGCCCTCTAACTCTTCCTCTGTTCAGAAAAAGAGAGAGAGAGAGAGAGAGAGAGAAACAAGACATAAAAAAGGACTTAGAGATGGAAACAATTGCTTATTGGTTGTTAGCTGTTAGAGAGAGAGAGAAACAAGACATAAAAAGGGACTTAGAGATGGAAACAATTACTTATTGGTTGTTAGCTGTTAAAAAAATCATTTGTTAAATCCATGAATAAATATGCTGTCCTTTGAAACAATAAACAACATTTCTCCTAAGCAATGCTGACACCTGGTGGAGCAGAAGTTCAAGTACATATAGTATCATCTAGCGAATTCTGGTGCGCCGGTCCCGGATAAAGATAAAGATGGATGGGGTCTTCCTCCTGGTGAGAACGCGTACCGAACCACAATGGGACCAAAGGCCGTGAATCACATTTACTTAATTACTTAAGATCTTATTAAAACATTGCAAGGAGATGCGAGGTTCATATCGAACAATTGACTTTTTGTAACTTTCAAAATTTGGATGTCAATATACATACCTGATGGATCTTCGGTAATATCTTCGGCTGATTAACATATGACAGTTCAATAATACCCATGCACGCTGCCTCCTGTATTGCCTGGATATGCGTCTTCGGCGACTCCAATGCATCAATACATTGTTTTCCAGCCGTAACCGCGCTTCATTTTCAAACTGTACGACTTGGTTTAAGTGGTAAATGCAAGCAACGTAATACAAAATAACCAGGCCTAGGCCCAACCGGCGTGTGTTGACCTCCATCCTCTGTCGTCATAGAAACGTGGACTTTCTTCCTTTATTTACTTTTTCTGTTCTCGCGGCAGACACATCTGACCAATAAGCGGAGAGAACGTTCTCGCGTAGCTTTACGTGACGTGTTTTTGTGCGCTTGGGTTTTTCTGTGTGAAACGAAACTGAACCAAGGAGACATTGCTACATGTTTACAAACTTGTCAACTAATTCGGACCCAAGCATTTTCAGCGTTAGGCATACTCTAACTGAACGTATAACAGAGCATTACTTAGCTATCGCCCACTGCACTGAACATGCAGCACATGATTTTCTGCTCTAACTTGTGACTTCTGCAATAAGGGGCATGAATCTCTGCACTCCGTGCAATCTGTCACTTATTTTTCACATAATTTAATCAATAATTGATTGAATTGTTAGAAGTTTCTTCAGCATAGCAGCTTGAAGTGTACATCCTGTTTTCTATCAAATAAAACTGGTTTGTGGGTGGTTACAGCTTACATACTGAAAGTATGGTCAGTAGGTGTAGAATGTACAGTACAGTATCTCAAGCCTCAAGTATTTTTTAATTGCACTGACCATACTAGACTCTGTTAAACTTTGGGAATAAGGAACAAAATGACTGTGGGTTACATTGCAAAGCATTTATTGTACCAACATACAGTCCTGATCATTCTCATTTAGACCACATGCGGATAAGACAAAAAAGCCAGATTATAATTGTGTGGATGTTTGTCTTTGTACATGTATTTTCTGTGAAGAGGCACATCACAGCTGTTGCAACATTTCCACAAATGGAACATAAACACACTTTGTTGTGTCAGTACCAGAAAAGACTTGAATCTGAAGGCATTTCTGTTTGTGTAAAATGAATTAACGCCTACATTATTAATGTGCAATGTGTATGTTTTCCTGAGGCCGTTTAAGGTCAGTTTACATGTAATAGGTGTGTAGCATGCTGCCGTTAACAAAATAAACCTAATGTCACCATCCAGCTTGTGTCTGTGTGAATATACTCTGTCCAATCCGACTGAACAGTTGGAGGGCGACTGAAAAATGTTTATATATTACACTTTTGTACCTTTGTAGAATCTGATGACAATAAAATTCAAACATAATAACACGCAAGTGTAACTCACAAATGTTTTTACTGCAGTTTTAATAGCATTTTGGTTAGTGAACAACACATCATATGCTGAGTTTTCACATATTAAAACCCATAAATGTGGTAACCATGAAGAACAAAAACCTGATGACTCTTACATTTAGGCCACATTTAAACCCTTTGGTCAGCTGTTCAGAAGGACAGAGAGAGAAACAAGACATAATAAAGGTACTTATGGGTAGAAACAATTACTTGTTGGTTGATAGTTGTTAAAGAATTCATTTGTTAAATCCATGAATAAATATGCTGTCCTTTGAAACAATAAACAACATTTCTCCTAAGCAATGCTGACACCTGGTGGAGCAGAAGTTCAAGTGACTGCAGTACTGTGTACATATAGTATATGTACTGTAGTATGCACAATGTGTATATGAATGAGCCAAAGTCATTCAAAGAACTAAAAATACTTTGAGGTCCTAGATAAACAGTAGAAACCTAAAGAAGCAATATTTTTCCAATTTTATTTTGTCTTATGGAGAAGAGAATGACCTCAGCCTCAATATAAACAACACAAAAAAAATAATAGTAGACTTCAGGAAGAACCCCTCCCCTCTGCTGCCTCTGACCATCAAAGGAACTGAGGTGGAGAGGGCCGACAGCCACAAGTTCCTGGGCCTGCAGGTGACATCTGACCTGAGCTGGTCACTGAACACACAGTCCACATTGAAGAAAGCCCAGCAGCGGCTATACTTCATCAGGCAGCTCAGAAAAGCTGGGATGAACCATTGCCCTCTCACCCATGCTTATAGAGGACTGGTAGAGAGCAAATAGCAAATACAAATCTTGAATCTTTGAATCCCTGTTGTTGCAAGTTTGAATGAATCAGTTTTGAAAAACATTTGCATGTTTTAGTTTAGTAAAATGTCCTAGCAGGTAACTGCAGAGTGCAAGTCTATTCTGATGATGATTTTATGTTGATTTGTACATCCATCCATCCATCATCTATACCGCTTATCCTTGTGTAAAAATTCAGACCTTTCTAATACATTTATCTATTCCTTTCCATAAAGGTTTCATTAGGGATACTAGTTTCCTTTAGTACAAATAGAAAGAGTGATTAAGTAGTGTAATAAATTTAATTATCATGTTTCCCAGTACTTGATCTATTCTGTACACATGACATTGATTGCTCTTTGGATTTAGTGGACTAAAAACTGTAGAAAATCAATCAAAGAACTAAAAATACTTTGAGGTCCTGGATAAACAGTAGAAACATGAAGAACCAATATTTTTCCAATTGTTTTATTTTGTCCTTTTTGTTTCCTCTATTCTGCAAAACAAAGGATACAAGCATAACAGCATGAAGTGTACACCACATTAAATAGTTCTTTTTTTGGTAAACGAATCAAATTTTAAGTTGACTTCTATTTTCACTTCCATATGTGCAGGACATTCAGAAAATCGAAACACTGTTTGCAGTGCCATAAAGTTATATCTGATACAGTTCAGCAAATTGTGACATTTACACCATTTGCTGAAAATACAGAGGAAAATAAATGAACTGTGTGTGAATTATATTTCACCTTAGCATAGATGTCATTTTCAGGGCTTGTTTGCTGAGTACAGGAAAGCCCAGTATGAGCTACAGAGGTCCATCAGAGCTGCAAAAAGAGCATTCTTCCAAAAACTAGAGAGCTACTACATGAATAACAACACGCGCAGTATGTGGCAGGGAATTCAGGCAGTCACAAACTACAGGAACAAATCAAACACATCCCCCCAGGACGCCACCCTCCTGGACAGCCTCAACAACTTCTATGCGAGGTTTGACAGGATGAACACAGACATCCCCCTCAAAATCCACCTGTGACCCAGAGGACCTTGCTTTTCAGGTGACGCACACACAGGTCATGAAGGCCCTAACACAAAATGTGACTTAAACAGATCATTACACCTTCTGAGGTGGCTATGCAGGTTACTATTATCTTAAATTACTGCTTCACTAATGATGATGCTAATGATAACAGTAGTTTTTGTACTTGCTACTATTTGTACTATGCAGAAGTTCTAATGCCTTTTGCCATTTACCCTGAAAACTAAATTTATGCAGCTCAGATGAGATAATGACCACAGTACATTTATTACAAATGTGAATTTAATTGCAGAACTAAAGCTGCAAAGTACTGAATGATATTACCACAATCTTTTTTTTTTTTCTTCTTTTAAATGGTGTGGTTTCATCATTGAATTTGGAGGTAGAAGAACAGCCCCTAGTACTAAATCTGAGAATGAGTGGATACAGTCAGCTTTTATGTGCTGGAACATGGTGACAAGTTCTTTAACAATTCAATCAGTTGTCCAGTGGATCTTAGAAACAGTGAAAATAACATGACAGCGCTGTCTGTGAATCATAATTCTGTCTGAAATATCTTTATTTTGCACTTTGTTTCTCACTGTCTTTTCTTTTTTATTAAAGAGTTATGCTGTCATTTAAGCCCGATGAGTTTAATGTAGGTCATAGCAGAATCAAAATCATTTTTTCCAGGATGCACAAAAAAAACAAGAATTTGTCTTAATCACATTAATTGTTCTTAAAGTTACAAGTGAAGTATATCTGTATATATCTTTTAATCACACCACTATATATCGATATATATATACAGTATACTGTATATATCGGTGTATATATAATCTTCCACTAGGCTATGATATGGTGCATAACATTTCATCATATCAGAGTTGTGTGGATATACTCAATACAGAATTTCTGAATCCATGTACTGAGGCTGCATTTTTAGATAAATGTTCTTTTTCAACATTTTCTGCCACAAGCACTTGAATGCACCACCAAAACACATTAACCACAAAATAAGGATGACAACTTGACAAAAACAAATGTTCACTGTAAAGGATTTGTCTGAAGCAAATTGACAAACTTCTACGAGTTTATAAACTTTATATTGTACATGAATAGAAAATAGTGGTTTTGAATTATGGAAGGTAACCACAGACCGTACTCTTTGTATGTGGATTGTGCAGGGAAGGCAACTGATGAGCTGCAGTCTACACCCTGTCTTCAATTAAAACACAAAATGTCACCTGCCATCTACAAAAAAGAGTTTGAGCAGCTCCTCATGGACAGATTTAGAGTCCTCAGTGACCAGTGTAATGTGTTCAAATGTTTTAGTGTGCACAGTAAAATCAATTAATTTTCACTTACTGCAGTTTGGCAACAGCACTGTTGCTGTTTGAGTTGGTACCGTTTTTCTTCAGTAGTTTTTTAATCTAGTGCTTTTACTTGCTTACTTGGTTGTTGAAACATACTTTTGATTCTGGTTTCCTTCCCCTGTCCTCACTCCCTTTCAAGGTTCAAGGATTTTATTGTCAATTCACCATATGTGCAGGACATTCAGAAAATCGAAACACTGTTTGTCTCTCACCTAGTATTGGGCGCCATAACATTTAGGAACTAAAACAGGATAAAGTAGAATAGAATAGAGTAAGAAGTGGATTGATGTAATTAGGATAAATCTAAACGGTACAGCCAATAAGCTGTGACTCAAAACCGTGTAGTCAGTGACAGTAGTGCAAACAGTAATAGGAGATTGTCAGATGGTTCAGCATTGTCAGGGCGTTGGTGATGAAGTGCAAATAGCATATGAGGTATACATGGACAGTATTGCAAATTACCAACAGCAGCAGATATCCTGGCAAAAAAGCAGTCAGCAGCAGATTTACATATAACATAACAGACAGTAAAACAGCAGAGGTAGTTTTTTTTTTGTTTGTTTGTCAGCAACAGATTTACCTGTAATATAACACAAAGGGGAAATGTATTGAGTTTGTGCAACAGCAGGGGTGATCTTTTTATGTTCTGTGGTGGGTCACAGTCCAGGGGCAGAGGGTGGGGAGGTAATGGCCAGCGTTCAGCACACACAGCCTCACAGCCTGGTGAATGAAGCTGTTTGTAAGTCTGGTGGAGTGGGCCTGAACACTCAGATACCTTCTCCCTTAAGGCAGGA